TCCGCACACACCGCACACACACACAACACACACCGCGCACGACACACCGCACACACCGCACAACGCACACACGTCAGGCTTTACGATTGCTTTGTCGTTCGCGTTTGGGGCGGAACCGTTTTGGCGCGGTAGAGCCACTTCCAGGTGCGGTCCTTGGGCTTGACCCAGCTCTCGGCCCTGGCCCGGAACGCCCGCCGGTTCTCCTCCGTCTTCCTCTTCTTCTCCCGCCGCTTCAGCGCCTCCCGGTCCCACACCTCGATCTTCTCCTCCGCCTCCGCTTCCACCTCACCCGTGCGCCCCACCTCCTTCCTGTTTGCACGGTCACCAACTCTATCATTAGCCGTGCGTCGTGTGTGCCGTGTGTGTCGTGTGTGTCGTGTGTCGTGTGTGTCGTGTGTGTCGTGTGTCGTGTGTGTCGTGTGTGTGTGTCGTGCCGTGAGCATGTGCGGTGGTGTGTGCGTGTGCGCAGGAAGGAGTGAGGCGCCTGTACCACAGGAGAGGCTCGTCGACGAGGCCGAAGGGCTGGTGTGTGTACTGGTAATCGGTGGGTGCTGGTGAATCGGGGGTGGTGGCGGCGGCGGCGGCGGCGGCGGTAGGAGCGGGCGTGGGGGCGGTGGGCGGTGGGGCGAGGACGGGGTCGGGGTGGTCCGCGAGGATACGCCGGACCTGGGTCTCCCACACCTCCTCGTCGTCGACCAGGCTGCGCCACTGCCCGCACACTACATTCCATTTACCAAAATATTTTTTTAGTTAATTTAATTTTGGATTTTATTTGTTGGCATAAAATAATAAATAAAAAAAAAGTTGAGGGGGTGAAGGTACCCAAGGCCACCGTGTTCAACAGAATCTTACCATCTATGAAGCTAAAGATGCGCAACCAGATCTGTGGAGCAATAAATGTAATTATTGGTTATATAAGCTGGGCTTTGCTGGGCTGGAAAGGAAACGCGATCAAGTCCTTGACGCACTTCGAAGGGCAAGACGTCCGCCACGCTCTCCATCTCCTGTTAAAGTTCCGGTCGGTCTGGTTGCGCCCGGTAGCACACCACCTTTTTTCGGTGAGCCACTTTCTTCTTATGAATAAAATAAAATTAACATATTAAAAACTCATGATTTTATGCCACCACGTGCCTCACAAACCACACCACCTGCAGCCCACACCGACCCCCCACTGCTCCTCAGGCGAGGACGGTGCGAATGACATCGCTGAGGGCGAGCACGCCGACGGGCTTCTCGTTCTCGTCAGTCACCCACAATCTGTGCACCTTGGCCTCCACCAGCTTGTTGATCGCCATGTCCAACTGTACACGACACACACACGACACACACCGTCAATTCGGCACATCGTCATCGACAGGGGTGGGCGGGAGGGGACAGCCGGACCTTTTCGCGGGAGAGCAGCGAATGT